GTTCTGTAGCAATGTGCCATGTTCTGTATCTTGTTCCACGTTCCTGTATCATGTGCCACGATCTGTATCATGTGCCATCGTCTATACCATGTGCCACAATCTGTATAATGTGCCATGATCTATAACATGTTCCGCATTCTGTATCATGTGCTGTGATCTATATAATGTGCTACCTTCTATATCGTGTGTCATTTTCTATATCATGTGCCATGTTCTGTATCATTTTCCACGTACATGTGGCATGGTATGTAAAATGTTCCACGTCCTGTATCATGTGCCACGTATCATGTGCCACGTTCTGTATTAAGTGTCAAGTGCCATGTACCGTATAATTTGTCATGGTCTATATAATGTGCCATATCCTGTATCATCTGCCACGTTCTGTATTCTGTGCTAGATTCTGTTTAACGTGTGACGATATGTATCATGGGTCACGTTCTGTATCATGTGCCACGTTCTTTACTATTTGCTACATTCTGTATCATGTGCAACGTTTTGCATCATGTGCCAGGCTATGTATCATGTGCAACGTTCTATATCATGTGCCAGGTTATGTATCATGTATCATGTTCTGTATCATGTGTCACGCCCTGTGTCATGTTCCATGTTCTGTTTCATGTGACACGATCTGTATGATGTGCCACATTCTGTACTATGTGCCACGTTCTGTATCATGTGCCACATTCTGTACTATTTGCTACGTTCTGTATCATGTGCAACGTTCTGTATCATGTGTCACGCCCTGTATCATGTTCCATGTTCTGTTTCATATGACACGATCTGTATCATGTGCTGCGGTCTCCTCCACGTGCCACGCGCTGTATCATGTGCCATGTTCTATATCATGTGTCACACGCTGTATCATGTGCCATGTTCTGTATCATGTGTCACGCCCTGTATCATGTGCCATGTTCTGTTTCATGTGACGCAATCTGTATCATGTGCTGCGGTCCCCTCCACGTGTCACGCGCTGTAGCATGTGCCATGTTCTGTATCATGTGTCACGCCCTGTATCATGTGCCGTGTTCTGTATCATGTATCATGTTCTGTGTCATGTGACACGATCTGTATCATGTGCTGCGGTCTCCTCCATGTTTCACGATCTGTACCATGTCGATGTCTTAAGAAAACCAAGTAACATATTGCCTATAAATAATTTCGACACATTTCAATCGGTTTAGAAATGTGATACCTCCATTTTATAGACACACTGACAACATGACTTTCGTTGTCTCCAGGAAACATTGCTGCTTCCTGACCCCTGGGTTTAATGAAATAAGTGTTGTTTTCAAGCAGTATCGTATCAGGACCAAGGGTTGTGTAATTACCAGGAGGTCGCAACACCACGATGACGCCTAGTTACGTGTGGTTGCCGAGGATGAGACCGGTAGCGATGGTGTATCGGCCTTCTGCTGTGACGTTGTCGTTCTCGCTACTAAGATTTTTCCTCGACTTTGCCCTCGCTCTGTAATCTCAGAGAAATATTCACAGTAATTGTTTCTATTTGGGTATCTTGACTGGCCAAAGTCGTACAAGCAGGGCGCACTTGATATCGAAAGGGTATTGTCGCTCTGATAAGTTTCAAATAGTTGCCACTGACCGACATTACAAATATCCACCGCGTGTTAAAAACAATTTGTTACTCATAATATACCCTCACATACAATACAAATGAACAATTCCCTGATCCTGATCTTTAATAATTAAATAAACCTTACGTCTTTGTAACTGTGAAACAAAAATGAATTGCAAAACTAAACGAGTGTTTCGTTTGTGTCAATGCATTAGACGCAGGTCATGACTGGGTTCGGGGATTGTGTGGTTGGTTTGTGAATGAATGAAAGAAAAGTAGTTCTGTCGCAACCTTTCAACCAATCCAGTTGTGTAATTGATGACTGATTCAGTCCCACTGCCGGGAAGTGAAGCTGTTCAGGGCTCACATATCTTGTCAGTTAGGTAATAGAAGATGGCTTATCATGGTTCTATTGTAGAGCTTGTCCTTCCACATGAAGCTGGCACCGTGAGATGTATGAAGTACTGTTCACAGTGGCTTCAATGTCTTATAAAACAGGCATCTGTACGATGAAGTCATTACATTCTCTACTAACGGATGACTCGTGGTTCACTGTCATTAATTAAAGAACGAACCTTTCATAATTACATCGCCACGTTCAACTGTTGTGAGCTGTTGTAGGGCGAATGTCCACAGTGAAGCAAGTTCATGCCTTCGTTTGCTTGTTGGTTAACGCCGCAGTCGGCAGTATTCCAGCTAAATGGCGTAGGTCTGTAAATAATCGAGTCTGGACGAGACAATCCAATGATCTAGGCAATGGGGATACGACGATATGTGTCAACCAGGTCAGCGAGTCTGTCCACCCTATCCCGTTTGTGGCCGCTTACAAGCACGGATTGCTAAAGAGCTATTCTAACCTGGGTTTATATCTGAAGTAAGTGAGTATGTTTATGGTGATGACTACAGTTATGCTGAAACAGAAAGTGAATGTGGAACTTAAACCCCAGTCAGCGGATCCTCCAACAACTAACGTGCACAACTCTAACTCTCTTCAAATGAAGTGACGGCTCGAGCCAATGTCCCACTGGTGCCGATAGGATTAATTGGGGAGGGCTACGTGCACTGCACATGGTCGGAATGATAAACCATTGTTAAGCTGAGAGTTAATTGTACAGCAACCGTCACAGTTCTTTCATATTCAGAGACTTTTATCACTTTCAAATTTAGAATAGAAGACAACGATAAACATTATCTGTTCTTTCATTTACTAAATATTTAACCAAGACAGACATATTGTGCCTTTGATGTTCGGTAGATTTAATGGCCTCTTTCACATGCAAGATTGACTTCGGGGACACTTCCGGAGATGCTTACATGTGTTAAAAGATACATCAACACTAAGCCACAAAGTTGGTGAAAACACAAGATCAAAGTTCATCTTGTATTGAATATCCACATCACCACAAAGCCATGTGTCACTGAAAGCACGTGCGCTTGTACAGAACAAACACACTGTGGATAGTAAATTCTGTCAGTTTGATTGGCAAGTCTGGAAAAACTGCGTGGCTGCTGTTGATGTCAACTGAGTATGTGGAGGCGTATCCTCTATCCCAGATTCGTCGTTTGTTGGGCGATATTATGACAGAGATAGTTTCTTTATACAGAATCATGTATTGTTTGTGATCACAACACGTTCAGTAACTTATCGTGATGAAGTTCCTGGTTTCAGTGACATCACTAACACAGAAGGTGGACAAATGTTTCTTGAGTAGATATTAAATTCACGAACAAGTACATAGGTTGTATGGTGAAACTAATAGAATCCCTGTTAGTATCGTGTAACGAATGATGGCATTCTGGAAAACTCTTGCAGTATGTTTCAATGACATGCCTACCACACTTGTTAGATACTTCCCCGATGTACTTCCTCGGATGTACACCACAGACAACTACCAATATACACAGTAATGAGTACTTCCTTGCAAATTCCTCTTACACAAATTCCTCTGTTGTATTTAAGCCCATCTGCTACTCTAAGAAATTATTTATACATTTATTCAATGTCAACATCAATATCCCGAACTTTGTATTGTCTACAGGTTTATGTACTGAGAAATTAGTATTGTTGTCGTGTGTATTTATATGAATTATGTTCAATATGTAGTTGTGATTTTGGAGTTGTAAAGATAAAACCCTTGCCTTGAAACAAGTGGGTGGATTTATATATTATATACACCACACCTTTTACCATTACCAGTAGTGAATATATATCAGTGATACTCCCTTCCTAAAGATAAAGTTGAAACGCGTAGGATGGAAACTCGCGTCGTGTAAATAATTTGTCGATTTCTTTATATATGTACTACTCTACACTGCTGAAATTGAACACTTTATACATATTCACTATCTATTTCTAGCCACCGCTTGCGGGAATACAAGCAGTTGAATCAGACAAACTGCACTCAGTGGGCTGGGCCACGTTTCACAAAGCAATCGTAGCGCTTCGACTCTGGTATCTTCTATCACCTATCTCCTAACAGAGTTGCGGCCGTCCTAGCGCAAAAATCGCTTTTGAAACAGGACCCTGCATAATACAGTAGCCTGTTTACTCCCCAAGTGGTCCAAAACGATACATTGATACCATGGTCATGAAATCCAAGTCCGGAAGTAATTATCACATTTGGTTTAATATGTCTGCATAATTCTGTTTTATATTGTTTCATAGTCATATTTATGCCCAAGGGTTAAGATGCATTCTGCTGTTGAAAATACTAATTCGCAAGCGATGCTATAAAAACTGCAGGATATAACTCCGGTATAATTACAACTAGTAAGGATTTTTTTTGTAAATGCTTTATCCTCCAGCCCTAGTTGCTGGAACATAACATCGCACGTCATCTTTTATTAACACTTGGTATAATCAGTGCTTGCTTATTTTGACGTTTCGATTCCTTAGTTGAAACAGAAAGTGATCCAGAAATCTGTACGCACAAGATACATGTGAAGGTCCGGGTTAGAATTGGTCTTCAGTAACCCATGCTTGTCGTAAGAGGCGACAAACGGGATAAGGTGGTCAGGCTCGCTGAATTGGTTGACACATGTCATCGGTTCCCAATTTCGCAGATCGATGCCCATGCTGTTGATCACTGGATTGTCTGGTCCAGATATGATTATTTACAGACCGCCGCAATATAGCTGGAATATTGCTGAGTGCGGCGTAAAACTAAACTCACTCACTGTACGGCCACGAATTTTCAGTGTGAAACCAACATACTACAAAGAATTGTGATAATTAACAACTGTATTCTAAACTTAACTAAGTTTAAAAACCAATACAGATCACAGACTGACAGTACAATACAGAAGCAGTGATTATAGCAATAAGAAGAGTGATAATATTATTATATCTTCAACAGAAGTGAAGCTTCCAAATGGGGGCGGTGGGGTAGCCTAATGGTTAAAGCGTTGGCTCGTCACGTCGAAGACCCGGGTTCGAATCCCCACATGGGTACAATGTGTGAAGCCCATTTCTGGTGTCCCCCGCCGTGATGTTGCTGGAATATTGCTTAAAAGCGGCGTAAAACCAAACTCAGTCAGTCAGAAGCTTCCAAATAGGACTTGAGGTGGGAATCTTCACACAACACATGGTCTCCTTGTAATGTCGTTTGTAAGAAGGTCATTTTGATATTTTAGATAATTGATTAGGTAAATAGTGGACATCTGCCTGAGATTTGCATTTGTCGTTGAACGGCAGATAAACAACAGCTTTTGTTAGATGATTGGCCAATGTCTGCTACGTCATTAACCATGGAAAGTCAGAGTAATATCGCGTGAAACCACCTCTATGTTCACGATGTCGGATTCTTCGACGCAACTCTTTATGAAACGTCCACTGTCAGCTTGGTTCATTTCATCCCATTGTTCCTGCAGTTCAGTGCAAAGTTCGTTAGGAGTGGTAGCCGTCCAGCGCCACCACCCTTGACATCAACGTCGTTTTACAGTAAATCAGTTTTGGGATAACACGTTGACATCGGATATGTAGTTGTCATCTGTGTAGACGGCTGTCCTCTCACACTAACACCAGTGAGAGGATCTTTGATGAACTATCCATGACACGGTGATGCCAGCATCCAACATGGAACATTTGACAGTACATTTCAGAATTGCTATTGTAATCCGATGTTGTGTCTAAGATACCTTTCACTCACATTAAAATAAATATTACAGAAAAAGTCAGTCGTTAAATGTTTTTCAACCGTTCCTAGTTTGAAAGGGTGTAGAAAAAGATTTGTTTTGTTGAAGAAAAAGATAGAGAATGTTCTTTGGCCAGTCATCCACAAACTGCCATCTTCGACCTTCAAGATCTCCTCCGACGGCTGAAGTCCCATGACAATATTGACATGGGCCAACTCCACCATGACCTCGTGCTTGAAGAACACAGCCGCAACTTGTAGATACTGGTTCTTGAAAATCTTTGGCAGGTAAATGAAATCACAGCCTTGGCGAAATATGTACGTATAGTTCTCTGTGTTTCTTTCAAATGTCTGTTTATATGAACGAAAAGTGTCGTCTGCTGCACCGGAAGTGGTCATGTTATTGATTTCATCGAATGTTTCTAAGATGGCGGATTTGCCGTATTCATAGGTCCACCATACCCACTCTGGTTCAATCTCATCGAGCGACAAGTTCAGCTTGTCCATTCCCTTATGAAGCCATGTCACATTCCGAGGCAGATCAACAACATTCCATGGGTTTAGTAATGTATCATCACCAATCTGTATGTATCCATTCACATCTAAATTGAGTTGCATCGCTAGCATTAAACACTCATAATAGAAATACCACCCCTTGCTGTAAGCCTCAATAAACGTAAGATGAAGAATATCCGATCCCCGACTCGCGTGATACGTAAATGAGCCAATATCAGGTCCACAATATACAATATGTTTGAAGTAACCCCTATACATTGATTCAAGAAGAGGTATATTTGTGTAAAAATACGCCTCGTTGAAAGCTATGATAAGACATATATCTGTAATTATAGGATCTGCATTTGTTACAGCAACATCAGGGCACTGTTCAGAAAAAGATTGCTGTCCTGGTCTTAGCACAGGGTAAGTATCATGTGTCAGACTGGACACCGTGTTAATTCCATCTCCTGGCAGGTTCCTGACAGGCTCAGTGTAGCCAACACTCTGCAAGTCACTCAGCCATGCGTGTACAAGTTTCATATCAGACACGGTCCACAACGTGCCCTGTATCAGAGTTCTGGCAATGTCTCTCACACAGCCGAAGAAAGATAATGTGTTATGACATTTCCACTTCAGTAGCATATCTCGTAAATGTCTTAGATCTTCCGACGAATAATTTCGTGCCTTCCTGTTTTCTTCGTGTTTCCACGGGGCTTCTGTGAACAATAGATCAGTGAAGTCTCTCGGAATATTTTCTGCTCCCTTAACTTCGGATAAAAGTCTCTGTATTAATACCTTGCCCAAGGCGCCATATAGATTGTGGAATACCAGTCCCCAAAACATGGAGTATTTGAAGGAAGCAACAGACGAGTACAGCAAGGTGAACCCAGAAGGATCATGAGCCTGTCTGTGAAGGAAGGATGTCGTTGTATTTACGTCGTCATCTGGAACACAACTGTTCGGACACAGTAAAGTGTACTTGTAGTACAAGAACCATGGCACGAGGTCAGAGTGTCCTTTGGTCCAGGGCTGCTTCATCTCGCTTGTAATTTGTCTATCGAGGAACATCTCCATGACCGAGTACGTGTTGTCTGTGGTCAGAGTACGGAGTTTGTGGTGTTCCTTCTGATTGTAGATGTACTTTGTATATATAACATTTGCTCCTTTGGATACTGCATAAAGGTAGCCGAGAAGTCTCTTTGAATAGGTGCTGGGTGGTAGGTGACTTGTTATGTTGTTAGCGAATCTGCCTTGATTTGTGACGCCAAGGTAAATACAGCGCGGTGATCTGAAACCATGTTAGGTTGAGTTTGGGTGAGTTACAGTAACAACTTGACGAACATTGTATTGCAAAGGATTTATGCCTCTCAGACAATATTTCAGCCACATTTCGGCATTCGACACAAGAAACTGGTAGCACACAGAGTACGTATGCGGAATATTGGACCTGGACCTTGATCTGGGTGTGCCACGACGACGTTTTGTATCGGAGGCTACAAACCCATCATGAATGATTGTTTAACCTTTACTACTACTTGAAGAGGGAAAAATACTGCTTAAAATGAAAACCTGATGAAGTTCAAGGCCAGAAAAAGTTAGTTTCGTTAGAGCTGGCAATGGCATACACCGTCCCTACCGATGCCTGAGGACGATGCTTGGTCAGTTTTTGATAGTATCAATAATACCTGGTTTTCACACAATGACTCGTCAACACTGAGACAACGCCATTACATTTCCTCGTTTTGTATAAAGACGTATCTGAACTTCATTTAAAAGAGTAAAGGCACGCTTCTGAGGTTTGGGTTGAAACTAGAAACACGAGGGCGGGGGAAAAGAAACAAATGCTCAAATTCTAAGGGTTTTTTTCCGAACCCGACTGTTCATATTTTCAACCAAAACAAAGAAGTGTTTTTGGATTATAAACCTACAACAAACAAATTTGAAGGGTTAAAATATCTTTCCTCACAGGAAATATGGGACTCCAATCTGTAACCGGTTCCTTTGACTGTCACGAAAACAAATGAATATGAGATCCTCAGGCTCTTCCTCAATTTTAAATGTTCAGCCCAAACCTCACAGGCCGGTGTTCTCTTGCTTAGCAAACATACTCAAAGTGTTTAATTAATCCTTTCTTTCAAAAATATATGACTGCTTCGGTCCAGTTTGTGTGAATTTGGTTATCTTGCTTTGAAAAAGTACATTGGCCCAACACATGTTATATGTTTATGATGAAGATTCCATAACTCAAATATACAGCATCATAGACAAACTGATTACAGGATTAAGGTTCAACAATATTATACAGTGTGGCATTCTTTTGATCCCGAATGACCGGAAATGAAGCGTAGGTTACTGGCCTTGAAGTGGCTGAGATTTGTGTGCCTCTTTGAAGAGAGTTCATTTATGCCACGACCTGTCAGTGAAATATATGAGATAAATGACACATCTAAAACCCAACACTGGACAACCTATCCGCCTCTAGCTTTGAAATCAAAATGTATTGTTAAGTCGTCGAAAGGCATCTCCTTGTGATGCTTACGATAGGGTCACGTTGTGGTGGGTGGGAAGGGGTTACGTTGTGAGGGGTCACATTGTGGTGAGTAGGAAGGGGTCACATTGTGGTGGGTAGGAAGGGGTCACATTGTGGTGGGTAGGAAGGGGTCACATTGTGGTGGGTAGGAAGGGGTCACATTGTGGTCGGTGGGAAGAGGTCACATTGTGGTGGGTAGGAAGGGGTCACATCGTGGTAGATAGGAAGGGGTCACATTGTGGTGTGTACAAAGGGGTCACAATGTGGTGGGTAGGAAGTTGTCACATTGTGGTAGGTAGGAAGTTGTCACATTGTGGTAGGTAGGAAGGGGTCACATTGTGGCGTGGATAGGAAGGGGTCACAATGTGGCGTGGATAGGAAGGGGTCACAATGTGGTGGAAGTTGTCACATTGTGGTGTGTACGAAAGGGTCACATTTTGGTGGATCAGAAGGGGCCATGTTGTGCTGGATAGGAAGGGGTCACGTTTTGCTGGATAGGAAGGGGTTACGTGGTAGTGGGTAGAAAGGGGTTACATGATAGTGGGTAGGAAGAGGTTACATGGTAGTGGGTAGGAAGGGGTCACGGTGTGCTGGAGAGGAAGGGGTTACATGGTAGTGGGTAGGAAGGGGTTACATGGTAGTGGGTAGGAAGGGGTCACGGTGTGCTTGATATGAAGGGGTCACATCGTAGTGGGTAGGAAGGGGTTACATGGTAGTGGATAGGAAGGGGTTACATGGTAGTGGGTATGAAGGGGTCACATCGTAGTGGGTAGGAAGGGGTTACATGGTAGTGGTAGGAAGGGGTTACATGGTAGTGGGTAGGAAGGGGTTACATGGTAGTGGATAGGAAGGGGTCACGTTGTGCTTGATAGGAAGTGGTCACATGGTAGTGGGTAGGAAGGGGTCACGTTGTGCTGGATAGGAAGGGGTTACATGGTAGTGGGTAGGAAGGGGTCACGTTGTGCTGGATAGGAAGGGGTTACATGGTAGTGGGTAGGAAGGGGTCACGTTGTGCTGGATAGGAAGGGGTTACATGGTAGTGGGTAGGAATGGGTCACGGTGTGCTGGATAGCAAGGGGTTTCATGGCTGTGGGTAGGAAGGGTCACGTTGTGCTGGATAGGAAGGGGTTACATGGTAGTGGGTAGGAAGGGGGGGGTCACGTTGTGCTGGATAGGAAGGGGTTACATGGTAGTGGATAGGAAGGGTCACGTTGTGCTGGATAGGAAGGGGTTACATGGTAGTGGGTAGGAAGGGGTCACGTTGTGCTGGATAGGAAGGGGTTACATGGTAGTGGGTAGGAAGGGGTCACGTTGTGCTGGATAGGAAGGGGTTACATGGTAGTGGGTAGGAATGGGTCACGGTGTGCTGGATAGCAAGGGGTTTCATGGCTGTGGGTAGGAAGGGGTCATGTTGTGCTGGATAGGAAGGGGTTACATGGTAGTGGGTAGGAATGGGTCACGTTGTGGTGGGTACTATGGGGTCACAATGTTGTGGGTAGGAATGGGTCACATTGTGGTGGATAGGAAATGGTGAGATTGTGGTGGATTGGAAGGGGTCACATCGTGGTGGGTAGGAATGGGTCACATTGTGGTGGGTACGAATTGGCTACACCGTTGAAGGAACGAATGGGCCACATCGTTATGGATACGAAGTGGTTACAATGTCATGGACATGAAAGGGGCAAAAAGGGGTCACATTGTGCCCGATACTTTGACTTTCACTCACCGACACCAAGGTATTTCTCCAGACAGGTCCACACTGCCGACAAACACGATGTTTACACCCTGTTGTACCAGCGGCCTGGTCGTGTTCCCTGCACGACCTACCAATACCAACCAAGTATTGGCGAGCTTCCTGAAGAAGAGGCGTGACAACATAGGAATAGGAATTCAAACTAAACAAAAAATGAAAATGACGTCTCCAGGACACAAGTCAAATATTCCCTTTAAAGAGTGAAAAATGTAACACTTCAAAATTGCTTGTGACAGATATAGAACGATGGATAAAACACTTAGGTTTGGCTGAAAATGTTAACAGCCAGCCTCGGACCATTGTTTACATTTTAAAACCAAGACATCGGGGACGTATTTTTCCTAAACACAAATATGATGTACATGCACACATTAACATACTGTAAGAATATGTGATGACTTTGTCCATATATGGAAGGGATTATATGACACATGAGTACGGTTATGATGTCAACAAATACTCTATCATGATCGTCGCTCTAATCAGGATCAAACCAACGATCAGTAGATGTTCGCATGTCTAAGGCACTGAGTGAGCATCCACATGATCGTTAAAGATACATTCCTATTTAAACGTTTCAGAGTGAATACAGTGAAGGAATAAGGTGTTACATATATGTACATGTTACTGTTGCAATATCACGGCGGGGGACAAAATGGGCGTCACGCATTGTACCCATGTGGGAAGCCTGGGTCTTCTAATCCACCGCCCACGTGAATACAGGTTGCCCATTTAGATATGAATTCCTGAGCTATCAAGATATGAGAGAGTCAGTGATAAAGGTCAAAATGACAAGGGGAAAGATAATTTCGTGATATCTGTCACACATAGGTACCTTTCAAACAGTAGGTCCCAGCCATTATCGGTGGTGTCACTTCGCCTCGAGGTGTTCATTAGATAGTGTAGGACTCCTATAGACACAACAGTCGCCACTGTCAACGCCAGGAAACGTCGCCTCAGAGAATCTGAAACTCACAGTGAGGGAGTAGATGAAGAATATGTCAGTTGTCTCTGGATGTAGACATCTCACCATTTGTCCAGAGGCGTGGAGATGGCATACCGGGCATGTCGTTCGGCGTTGCAAGTCATTATACAGAGCTCATACTGCAGATGTGGATCATACTATTTCGTAGACTTTGAGTGAGCGAATTTTTACGGGCGACATTGGCAATACCCTTGCCTTATCACACATCGGGACAACAACAGGCGAAACATAAAATAGTCTGTGGACTCGAACCGTGTCGTCAAAGGCGACGAGGCTGTCACTACAAGGCCACCTACTGCTGAAGTTTTTCGGAGGGATTTCAACATAACACAAAGATGGAAAGTGGAAGCTATATGCGCTGGTTGAAAGGCTCAAGTAATGTGTCCGTGTATTTACTTACCAGACATGTTGAGACGGACAGGGCTGAGTATCAGTGGGAACCGAGCACGTGTTGTGAAAGTTATCTGGCAGGCCACAGAGATAATTAACACAAAAGACCACAAAGTACACAGTCAGATCACATTGACATACTGTGCGTTATGGCCAGGTGTTGTAATCAGTGCAGCATTGGTAGGACCAGGTGTTGTAATCAGTGCAGCATTGGTAGGACCAGGTGTTGTAATCAGTGCAGCATTGGTAGGACCAGGTGTTGTAATCAGTGCAGCATTGGTAGGACCAGGTGTTGTAATCAGTGCAGCCAGGTGTTGTAATCAGCATTGGTAGGACCAGGTTGGTAGCATTGGTACCATTGGTAGGACCAGGTGTTGTAATCAGTGCAGCACCAGGTGTTGTAATCAGTGCAGCATTGGTAGGACCAGGTGTTGTAATCAGTGCAGCATTGGTAGGACCAGGTGTTGTAATCAGTGCAGCATTGGTAGGACCAGTCAGTGGTTCTACCGTAGCCTCTGCAAACAGTACTTTGAATGTCGATATGAGGCACCAGTAGAAACTGTTTTGTCCACAGGCCCTCGTGTTTTTACGAAGAAAAGATTAAACAAATTATTTTTTTAAAATGACCCCCGACTCAAAATGCTACACAGCACAAGACATTATGACATATATTGTACTGTGAAGCTTTTTGAGTCGGGGGACATCTCAAATGTTTTATGTTTTTTTAACATCTTTAATCCTCGCAAAGACACGAGGGCCTGTGGTTTTGTCTTGCACTTGCCGCAAATTACATGTGATTAGAATCGACACTCAATTTTGTCCCAGACAGTCGAATTCAGGTTGACCTTTACGTCAGAAAGACAAGTGAGGGCTGACTCTAATCTAACAACATGAAACAACAGTTATTTTGACAGATCCGTACAAGAGATTCTTTTTTGATGTTTTCAATGGTTCAGGGAAGCTTTGGTTTTTTTTGCTTTTATCAACTAACCTAAAACCGTAGTTATATGAACCATAAATATCTGCCATCATGTTTTCCACTAAGATCCTTCAAAGTAGATTTATTATTTTAAAAAATACTTCTTTCTTTTCTTATGTAATCATCAGTTTTCCTTCGCTCGGAAGTTTGGTTATTAACTATAGTGAAAGTATTATAGGCCAAATGAAAAAAAACTATTAGTCCCACACAGCGACGAAACCTTTGTTGAGAGCCTCTGTCGCAACCAAACGGAGCATATTCGTCATCGGAATTGTCGCATCCGTTTTACCTCGAAAGGAATGTCATCATTTCATCCAACAAATCTCTATTTAAAGATTTTGATAAAAACTGAACTGGTCACCATAAATCTTGGAAATATGAACATATATGTGAGTGAGGCATACTTCAATCCCAACAGAACTTCTAGTGATCCTATCAAAGTGTAAACTCAAGTAGTGGGATATGGAATGCTTGTATGCTTAAATCTCTGATTTTATTTTAGGAAATATTCAGCTATTTATACAACATCCATCTAAAGTACTCAGATCAAACAATCTCTATTTTCTCGAAGTTCGTTGGTTGTTCTCAATATGTCCATACTCCCGGTGTTTAGTTTGCGAAACTATATTTCTAAATGTTTCTTATCATATACATATGAGGGAATAGCAAGTTTGGATATACAATTCAATATTCCTGATATATGTATTTATACCAAAAAGTTGAAAATTGAACTGCTTGAGGAAATTGTCCTTTGAAAATGAAAGTCATTGGCAGTGTCTTAAAACTCAAACAGCTCGTTTACCATATCCTGACTTGAATGGTATATCACCTGACACAACATCAACGTATACTCACTCACTCAGTCACTCACTGAGACACCCTCCCACCCACCCACCCACCACTCACTCACACACACTCACTCACTCACTCACTAAAATTGTGTCTGGTTATCTCATTATTGCATCATATCTAGGGTAGAGTTGGGTAGACTAATCGATCCTTTTTCTGCATAGATGGCTAGAACTTGGATAGAAACGTTATTGGCACAGTTTGAACTATGCGAACGCACTTCCGATAGAATAAGCGAAAATGACTGTTTTAAGGTTCAGGGGTTCAAAAATCCCATCACCCGACGCCCGGGACAAGTCAGTTTTCATTTCGGGCAATCAAATAATGGTATCTTACGTGGGCTACTAGATATTCTCTGCTTACGGTATCAAACTGTAAATAAGGTTGGATTTCAATTCATATCTGCTCAAAATATGCAGCTATTAAATTTTGCAATGCTATTAGGTAGAGTTATCCTTCTTTGCTAGTTATCTCTTCTCGATAAATAGCCCAGTAAACATTAACATCAAATACCATGTTGATTTATTCTTTCATAATTACATCATCATGATTATGTCGTACAAATCAGGGCAAGTGGAAAATTAGCCAGGACAAGTTACTTTCTTAAAGACACTTGTCCTGTGGGAAGTGACTTTTAAGGGTTTTTTGAACCCCTGCAGGTTCACTTGTCCAGAACGAAAGATATATGTTCAAGCTACGGAATTGTATAATGTGGGATCATGGAATTGGCAATAAGACCGACGGGAAACACACAGAGAAGCATTGGCGGTCATACTGAGACAAGGATTCTGTGTAGAAAACTGCCACCAGTACACTGAAAGGGTTAGTGGCCGTCATTAATTCCCCTTGTATTGCAGCAAATATCGTGATAAACTCCGCGACTGTCAATAAAAGAGGTACATGTCCCTGACGTAAAGTAAGCAAACTGTATATCAACCCTTAATTAAAGAAAACTCACTGTTTTTTCCCCCGTGAGCGTTATATCAGGAATGGATCTAATTTGAAGGAAGCGTTGTGCGGGGGCATTACCTCAAATATTATCAGGTTAATTATTCGGGATCAGTCAGCAATACCCGAATGTCATTTACTTGGTTAGTACCTATTACAATGGAAGCAATCCCGATATGATAAGATTCTCTCTGTATGAAATGTCATTTGTAATCACATAGCCCACTAATTAATCACGTTGAACTTAGCTCATACAAAGATCTCTGATCTTATTACACAGATAGAAAAGCCAACTTCTTATGCTCAATATACAACAGTTTCTTCTACACCGCTGTAGTGAGGTGAAAGATTCAAACATAATATTTGTACTCATAAAGGCCCCTAATTAATGTTATCCATCACGGTTGAGGTTTGCTTGTGTCATATTACACAGGTGAGACAGTCTCTACTTCATACATCTATTATATCACAGTTTTTCTACAACACCGTAAAGCACCTATTGAAGCTATACGAATCTTAATCAAAACAAACAGGTAAAACATTTAACTTGACGTCATCTGTCATTCCCGGTTAGCATTACCATAACCAGAAACACGTGGCAGTTTGTTGTTGAAGTTGGTGTGTGTGGAGATTAAGATGTTACACGTGGAAGTAACTCGTTTTTTTTGCGTATGTGGAGATGAAACACAGTCATTGACATGACGAGCCAAAACTGAAATTTGGCTATCCGACCTTGGTTTGCATCCAAATAGAGCCTGTGGTGTAAATGTGCCATACGTGTAGGGATAAAAGACTACCAAACACTACTGAAGAACTACTGGTTTACAGAAAAAACGCCTCTGTACGCTGGGGTCGAAGCACTAACTTTATTTATAGTTTGCATTTGCTTCCAAATCAGACGCATTAAGACATCGCATATTTGCTTCAAATGTCAAAATAACCAAGAACAATTCGAATGAACAAATGCAACGTTGCATTAAATCGACTCTCGCGCCCTCTACTGGCCGAATATAATTTCAAGCGAATCCCAAAGAGTGTTGTCCCTTGAAGCGCTCTTTACGAATATCCTATAACTCCTTTGGAGACAGAACTCAGTCCTGTCTGGCGTAAGAACATAAGCGCAAATTGAAACAAATTCGGCAAACACCGACATTACCGCATGTACGGAGCAATTACAGTCAAACCCCGCTGTGTCGAACTCGTCGGGACCAAGGGAAAAGTTCGACTTGTCCGAGTGTTCGACACATCCGTCAGTATAGAAATAATAATATATATAAGGAAAATGTACTTAAGTCTTACATTCCATATGTGGCAAGTGTTCTCTGTTTGGAAGCTGTTCGCCTCGAAGTTTCAATTATCGACTTCAGGCAAGTCATAAGGGATAATGAGTCTTTTATTGCGTCAATAGGAAGCTAAAGCGAGTGCATATGCCTCAATATAAATAATATAGGTCAAAACATTGTCGAAAATGTGTCCAATTATACAGTTAATTAACATTTTAAAAATTTGAAAGGCCAAAAACGTTTTTTCACATACAAGCATACATTTTACTTGTGTCACGAAATCTATTTGGTAGATTAAACACTTTTAAACTGATCAACATCAAATGTCAAGCCATACGCAAATATGAGAAATAGAATATAAATAACATATAGTGCGTTGTGACTAACCTTAATTTAAAACGCTAAAGGCCAAACCCTTTTCGAGCGCAAAAACATTTTTTTGCCATATTAGCAAACGTGTTTCTTTGTGTCACGAAATCTATCTGTAACATTAAACATTTTTGAAGATGATCAACACCAAATATCAAGAAAAACCCAAATATGAGAAATAGAAAATAAACACCACTGTGGTGATGTTGTGCACTAACTGAACACTCGCTAAATAGTAATATCGGAGTGGTAATACATGTCCACTAGTACTGTACAGTATTATTGCCACATGCCCGAAGAGCCAATATCCTTCCAGAAACATTGTTGCTTTGGGCATGTTGTATTTGCTTCACTGCTGCTCTATCGACCTGTTCAGTTTAACGTAGTGACGTCGTGAACCATTCATACTGACTGACTGAGTTTGGGTTTTACGCCGCTTTTAGCCAGTGGTTAAAGCGTTGGCTCGTCACGCCGACGACCCGGGTTCGAATCATCACATGGGTACAATGTGTGAAGCCCATTTCTGGTGTCCCCCGCCGTGATGTTGCTGGAATATTGCTATAAGCGGCGTAAAACCAAACGTCAGTCAGTCAGTCTATGCTGTAGTAAACGCCAAAGAATACTCAGATACAAGTTT